CAGCTTTTCTTCAGTAGAAGAGGGAAAGCTATGAACACACACTCACCTTGTGCTCTTTCGGGTCTGACTCTTTGAGTCTCCATGGACTGTAGCCCTCCAGGCTCCTCTGTCCAGGCAAGAATAGTGGAGTGGGTTGCCATTTCCTCCTCCAGGGAATCATCCCAACCCAGGGATTGAACCCGAATCTCTTGTGTCTCCTGCATTGGCAGGCAGAGTCTTTTACCACTGGGCCACCAGGGAAGCCCTTCACACACATTATCAATCATTTTTGTCCCTATTACATTAGTGTTTAAAAACCACAATTTGTTAAACAAAAAGAACAAAACAAAAAACAAACCACAATTTGTTATTTACTTGCTATATGTCAGGAATGGTGCTAGTAGCTTTAGATGTGTGTATTTAATCCTAAAAACACATCCCAATGAGGTAGATACTATTATCTTATTTTTTCAAGAAGAAAATTGAGGCACAGAGAAATTACTTAACCACACTCAAAGAGCTGTCAAGCAACACGATCAAGGTTTAAAAATAACTCAAAAGCCCATGGCCAGTGTTGATATGCATATTGTACCAAATTGGTCTGACATTGGTTCAAACTCAGATTTAACTTTTACCAAACCACAAGGCTGACTTCTCACAGATTCAGTACTAGTCAAAGCTATGGTTTTTCCAGTTGTCATATACAGATGTGAGAGTTGGGCCATAAAGAAGCCTGAGTTTCAAAGAACTGATACTTTCAAATTGTGGTGCTGGAGAAGACTGTTGAGAGTCCCTTGGACAGCAAGGAGATCCAACCAGTGAATCCTAAAGGAAACCAACCCTGAATACTCATTGGAAGGACTGATTCTGAAGCTCCAATATTTTGGCCACCTGATGGGAAGAGCCAGCTAATTAGAAAAGACCCTGATGTTGGGAAAGATTGAGGGCAAGAGGAGAAGGGGGCAACAGAGAATGAGATGGTTGGATAGCATCACTGACTCAATGGACATGAGCTTGAGCAAACTCTGAGAGATAGTGAAGGACAGAGGAGGCTAACGCGCTGCAGTTCATGGGATGACAAAGAGTTGGACACGACTTAACGACAACAACAAGAAGACCTTTTAACGCCCTTGTTGCCTAATCATCCTTTTTGGGCCAGAAAGAAATCCAGGATCTCCAACTACTACAAAACAGGTGATCATTCTCTTTCTTCAACCATAGATGGGATCTGAGTGGAAAATTCCTGGAACATCTCAGTTCATTTCAGTTCAGTTGCTCAGTCGTGTCCGACTCTTTGAGACCCTATGAACTGCATCACCCCAGGCTTTTCTGTCCATCACCAACTCCCAGAGCTTGCTGAAACTCATGTCCATCGAGTCAGTAATGCCATCCAACCATCTCATCCTCTGTTGTCCCCTTCTCCTGCCTTCAGTCTTTCCTGGCATCAAGGTCTTTTCCAATGAGTCAGTTCTTTGCATCTGGAACATCTAGGTTTTGCAAATGAAGTCTAGTTTGTAGACACACAGAACCCAAGGAACAAGATTATCCTGATCACTACCTTTCTGTTTGTCAGTGCTCCCATGAACAGCAGGAGCATTTGCCCCACAGGATTGGATTTACGCACCCTTGGTGCATCATCTGACACACAAACCTTCCTCAACATGGTGAGGTTTGGTGTTGAAAAGCAGTTGCCTCTGTTGCCCATGCTGTTTTTGATTTCAGCAAGGGAACGTGTCTTTAAAAAAAAATGCTCATTTTTATAATTAAGAAAGTAGCATAATAACACAATAGAAAACAGAAGGGGAAATTACTCATAACCCAAGGCCTTGAGACAATGATTATTCTTATGACACATCCATCAGGCATGCCTTGGGCCATTGTGTTCTGGCGTTTTGTGAGGCCTCTATTTGGGCTCCAGATGTCGAAAGTTTAGCTTTCAGGAACTGTTTGTTTCTGCCACTGAAATATGGTCTGTCTGCAGCTGAGACTCTGTCTTTGCTGAGCTCAGAAGTTTGGGAGCTTTGAGCCTCCTCCATTAACCCTCCTGGAGGGCTTCCTGTGATGAAAGGTAGATTTGATCAGGTCTTCTGTTGTTCCAGCACATGCTCCTTTCTCAGTATAACTGATTGCGTTATTGTTTGTAACCATCTTCCTCCTCCCCAGGAGAGTATTAAACATCCACACCCTTTGCCACATGACTCCCAGGAGTGATGCCCGTGAGTGGAATGTATTTCTTCCAAGAGTTATTCCAGTGCATGGAATGTATTGTCAGACTTGGCCATGTGACTTGCTTTGGCCAGTGGAATGTGAATGGACATGATCCAGGCTGTGTCCAAGCAGAAGCTTTCAATGATCTCGCCCAATTTGGCTTGCCCGCTCGCCATCAAATCACATTCCAAATACTGGCTGCTCCTTCAGCCTGGGTCCTGCAGTGAGAAGACATGGATCAGAGCTGAGGGGAGCTGTGAACCTGAATGCAAGAAGTACCCTTTGTTGTTGTAAAACCCTGAAATTTTTGGAGTGGTTTGTTCCAGCAGAATACTGACCAGTACATTTGTTCTCTAGGTAAGAAAGGAGTCCCTCTTCTGGGACAAACCTTCCGCAGTGGAGGTATCTCAGCTACTTCTAGCTCCCTCCCCAAACTGAGGCATAACATCCCTCCCTTCACAGGTAGGACTCAGATACTGGCGCGTATCTCCATGATGTTGACGGAAAGCAGTGTGACATGGAGATTAAGTTGGAGCCCTGCCACTCACCTCTGTGTGACCCTGGGCAAATGTGCTTAACCACTTTGTCCCTGATTTCTCTCCTTTTTGTAAAAGAATAGCACTTACCTTAGAGTTTTGATGCCAAGAATAAATGTAGTGATAGGTCACTATGGAGTTTATGGTTATTGTGCTTCCACTGACTGACTCCATCTGTCCAAGCTTTTGGGAGAGACATTCATAGAATGCCAAGGAGAACTTCTGGAGCTGGACCTGGAGGCCCAGAGCTACTGGAGTCCTGCTGCCCATCTCTCATCTCTTCTGGTTTCTGACTGACTTTATTCTCTCTTCTTGAAGATGTTTTTCCCAAGACCCAAGAAGCAAAGGGCTGTCCCCACTTGCACAATCCAGGGAAGAACTCTGATGGTTCTGACATGGGTCATGTTTTCACCCATCAATCAATCTCTGTGTCTGGGGGTGAATACCAGACAGCCACGCCTGGGTTCACAGTCCTGAACCCAGGTCCACTGCTAGAAACATGAAAGGGGGATCAAGACAGTAGCACCATAACCAAAGTTACCACAGGACCAACACGTGATTACCCTTCTTTGGATGTGGTTTGTGGTTGTTTTGGGCAGCATGAAAACACATGGTCTTGGAAGCCATGCAGCTGTGTGAACCCAAGGAAATTTTTAAAGTTCTATAAACCTTGGTGTCCTCATATAAAAATGAGGGTAATAATCTCCCTCTCCCTGGTTTGTTATGATTAAATAAGATAACATATGAAAGCATCTGGAACATAGGCTCAACAAATACTAATAGTTATTATCCTCCATGTTCTGTGATCTGTGCACCTGGGGCTGCCTAGGAGAATTCTTTCCCTCCTTTCCTCATGTCCCTGTTTTTTACTTTGTGGTGAGTAACACAGATCTCAAGTGGAGCCAAGGGCCCCCCATCAGTAACTCACTGCATTCTCTCCCTGGAGGCCAGCCACACGGGAAAGCTGATGAACAGAGGGTAGTGTCCTAAGAATGAAACTGGAATATACAAAAGAATTTGGGTAGTTTTCAGAAGAGTTTCTCCACTAGGATGCCTGAAATACTTTCACTTGCTACATTAGCAAATCTTAACCTTCTTGATGTAATCAACCCTCAGAGTCTGATTAAAACTGTAGACCACTCTTCTCTGAAAGATGCACAGTTGTACAGACAATTTCAGAGGGCCACAAAGTTCCAGAAAACCCAGCCCTGGGACCCCAGGTTCACAGCCCTTGTACTAGGTAGGGAATCTTGCTAAGGAAACTCTAATACCCATTAACCCAGATGGTGGTGCTGGTGGTGGACACAATGATAACCTAGATAGGGTACCATGACTAGAAAGAAAAAAGCCCCACTGTTGTTATTACTGTTACTATTATTGGTATCATTGCTTTCTTCTGTCCTTGCATGTTCTTTTCATGATTCCAAGTCCTGGGGATGAAAGTCCAATTGGCCAGTGGGGTCATGGGCACTCCTTGGCCTGGGGAGGGTGAGAGACTTTTTCAGTCACCCAAGACAGCACAGTGCAGGAGAGGTAATTTCCCCAGAAGAAATCAATATATTAACCATAATAGGGGGTATGGACACCGCCCCCCCCATGTATGACCCCCTCCAAATGACAAATATCTACTCATAGTTGTGCTGCTTATATCCGTCTCAATTTTCCTCCTGTCAGTTGCCGCTGAAAAGCTAAGAGAGGTATTTCCCCTAAAGCTCTGGCACCCATCATCTTGTCTGTATCACAGGAGTTGCTTAGTCTAAGAGTTTCTAAATAGGAACTTCCCTCGTGGTCCAGCCGCTAAGACTCAGTTCTCCCCAGGCAGGGCGCTGGGGTTCAGCTCCTGGTCGGGGAACTGGATCCCACAAGCCACGGCTAAAGACCCAGCATGCCAAAACTAAGACCTGGTGCAGCGAAATAAAGAAACCAAGAAAGATGAGACTCCAGGGCGTCAAGCGACTTTCCCACGGACACAGATGGAAGACGGCACAGCTGAGCTGACAACCTGAACTTAGTCTACAAGTCTCCCGCAGATGCTGGGAGTCTGGCTGGACCAGGGGGAAGTGTGTGTGTGTGTGCGTGTGTGTGTGTGTGCGTGCGCGTCTAAACGTTTCACCACGTGGGCTCACATGGGCCTGGAGGGGACATCAAGTGAGGGTCCCAGAACACAAGAGTCTAGTCCAGCCCCAGGGAGAAGGGAGTCTGCTCTCTGGCCAGAGATCCCATTCAGGGACTCGGGTTTATGGACGAAGCCCCGTGATCTCGAAGAGAAGCCTGGCCTCAGCTCTGCGAAGGGATTCCGGCTTTTCCCAGGAAGCTAGAGTGGATAAAACTGACAGCCCTCTGCGCCGAGGGAGGAGGAGACCGCGGCCGGCATCCGGCTTGGCTTCCTGCGAGTCTCACCGAGCACCGGGCTGTCTCCACAGTAGCTTTGGCGGCAAACAAATCGGCCCAAGAAAAGTAGGTCAGCTTGCGGCCCAGCGGCACTTCCTGCCGGTCTCCGGCGCCCCGCTCCGCGCCCTCCCCGCTCTCCCCACTTCTCCGCACTCTCCGCTCGCCCTCGGTCTGAGCTCCCTGCGGCGCCCCTTCTCTCATCCCGCCTCCTGGCCCCCTGCCCCTTCCGCGCCTCAGTTCTCTCTCCGCCGACGTCCTCCCCTCCTTCCTCTCGCCGCCTCTGACACTTCAGGTCCTAGTATAAGAATACAACCAATCTGTTGTCTTTCAAAACAGATAACGTGTTTATTTTAAAGAGATCAAAGGTCGCAGAAAAAACGCAAAATCCTACCACTCAGGATTAACATTAGTGAACACGGAGTGAATATATGCACATATTTTCATGTATTATGTATATGTATATAGTAGAGCATATATACAGTTTATTAAAACGAAATACTATTTTTATTGAGTATTCAATTTTATAATTTACCTTTATTTAAATTCAATGCAAGAAAAGAAATTATAGTGAGATGGAAAGAACTGTTGAATTTTAAATAAACGCATCTTTACTACAAGAGATAGAATAAAATATTCCTTTAAAAAGGGAGGAAAGGAGGGAAAGAGAAAAGAAATGTAAATTAAGTGGTTGGGGATTTGTAAAACTACATGTTTTAGTTTTTATTATAACTAGTATAATTAACCCTTATCAAGAAAGATGGGAGCATTAACATTTGTGCATTTTCTCCTATCACTTCTTATGCTTCCAGATTTTTTTCTTAATATTTATTATTTACCTATTTAATTAATTTGTTTGATCACACCAGATCTTAGCTGCAGCATTCGGCACGCTAGATCTTTAGTTGTGTGTGGGATGTAGTTCCCTGACCAGGGATCGAACCCAGGCCCCCTCCATTGGGAGTGCATAGTCTTAGCCACTGGACCACCAGGAAAGTCCCCTGCTTCCTGATTTTTAACAAGTGACACTATGATAGTTTTTAATTTTCTGAGCTTCACACTCAGTAAATATATGTATTTATATATTATATATTCACTTATATAAATCTATTTCTCCTAGTGACCATTGTTGTTGAGCGCTAAGTCATATCTGATTCTTTGTGACCTCATGGACTGCAGCCAGGCTCCACTATCTCTTGCAGTTTGCTCAGATTCATGTCCAGTGAGTCTGTGATGCTATCTAACCATCTCTTCCTCTGCCACCCCCTTCTCCTTTTACCTTCAGTTTTTCCCAGCATCAGGGTCTTTTCCAGTAAGTTGGCTCTTCGCTTCAGGTGGCCAAAGCATTCGAGCTTCAGCTTCAGCATCAGTCCTTCCAATGAATATTCAGAATTGATTTCTTTTAGGATTGACTGGTTTGATCTCCTTGCTGCCTCAAGACTCTTCTCCAACACCACAGTTCAAAAGCATCAATTCTTTGGAGCTCAGCCTTCTTTATAGTCCAACTCTCACATCCATTCATGACTACTAGAAAAACCATAGCTTTGACTATTTAGACCTTTGTTTCCAAGTGATGTCTCTGCTTTTTAACGACAGACCTAGCTATGTCTAGGTTTGTCATAGCTTTCCTTCCAAGGAGCAAGTATCTTAATTACATAGCTGCAGTCACCATCTGCAGTCATTTTGGAGTCCAAGAAAATAAAATTTGTCACTGCTTCCACTTTTTCCCTTTCTATTTGCTATGCAGTGATGGGACCAGATGCCATGATCTTATTTTTTTGAAGGTTGAGTTTTAAGCCAGCCTTTTCACTCTCCTCTTTCACCCTCATCGAGAGGCTCTTTATTTTCTCTTCACTTTGTGCCATTAGAGAGGTATCATATGTATCTGAGGTTGATGCTATTTCTCCCGGCAGTCTTGATTCCAGCTTGTGATTCATCCAGCCTGGCATTTACTCTACATGTAAGTTAAATAAGCAGGATGTTGTTAAAACCATAGTAAATAGTAACCATAGTTACTGTTGGTTCTATATTTAAATAGATTCCGTGCTTATGACTAGCCCCTTTCCTATATCTTTTGCATTCCTCAATTATTTATTTACGGTCATCTCAATTGTCTAAATTTCATTTTGAAGTCACTGTTTCAAGAATGACTATGGGTTCTGTATTGCTTGAACAACACTGTGGACTGGATGCAACTTTCTCAAGACACACTGTCTCTCATTTAAAACTTTATAGACAGGATCATATTGTGTTCTGGCATTGAGTGCCGCTATGGTATTTTTTGAGGATAGCTAGAATTTTTTTTTCTTCCTGTGGGTAGTTTACTTTGCTACTTATTGGAACAATTCTTTCTGATTCTATGTAATTGCCATTTAACTGGAACATATATGAGCATTCTGAATAAAATTTTCCTGCCATGAATTGTGCTTTTAGAGGTTAAAAAATCATTCCTCTATCACAGGAAAATTATTTGTACCATGTGGTCTTTAAGTACATCTTAAATCTTTGTTGGGCTATCAATTTAAGGAATCAGATATCCATATGTTGGATATTTTTTGTCTTCCATACCTATTAGTTTCTCTAACAGTTTTAAGATGTCTGTCATTTTAATTGTAGCACGTCTTTTATTTCAGTAATTCAATTTCCAGCACAAGATCTGTTCTTTCTTTGCTGTCTTGAATTATGTGTTCGCGCCATAATATTGTTGTTTGGGTCCTCAATTTGTTTCCTTAGTTCTTCTGTCTCCATTGAGAGCATCTCACTTGTTTTATTTTCTTGTTTGGTGCTCTTGTTTTAATGACATTCATTTTCTTATTTGTTGCTATATAGCATGAAGTAGTTGTAAGGGATTTCCTTCTCTTTTTGAATACTGCTTTCTTCTTGGCTGAGTTCTTTATTTTGTATTTGCATGTCCCTTCCTCCCACCCTTCCCCATTCCTGCCTCCTTCTCCCTCCTTCCTCACCTCCCTTCTTTCTCCCTCCTTCCTCCTCCTTCCCCTCCCTCTCTCCTTTCCTTCCTCCTTCCCTCCCTTCTTTCCTTTCTTCTTTTCTTTTTTTGCAGTGTCTGCACACTTTCTATCACATTTCTTTTCATTTTATTTATGCTTGAAAATGAAAGTGAAAGTCGCTCAGTCATGTCTGACTCTATGTGACCCCATGGACTATACAGTCCATGGAATTCTCCAGGCCAGAATACTGGAGTGGGTAGCCTTTCCCTTCTCCAGGGGATCTTCCCAACCCAGGAATCGAACCCAGGTCTCCTGCATTGCAGGTGGATTCTTTACCAGCTGAGCCACAAGGGAAGTCCAGGAATACTGGAGTGGGTAACCTATCCCTTCTCCAGCAGATCTTCCTGACCCAGGAATCGAACCGGGGTCTCCTGCATTGTAGGTAGATTCTTTACCAACTGAGCTGTCAGGAAAGCCTTTATTTATGCTTGGGCAACACTAATCAGACATTCTGGTTTGCAGTTATAAAGCATAGATGACATTTTGACTCTCTCCCTACCCTATCTGAAACCAGATTGTTTCCTCTCCAAGTTGTGTTTTGAGGGCAAGGTGCTGTGTTCTACCCACTTAGCTGTGGCCTAGGGGGATGAGGGAGAGAGATCAGCAAACATGCTGTCTGTTAGAGCTGTCTGGACTCCATTCTCTCTTCTAAATTACGCCAAACATCCTGGGTCAAGATTCACTCCTCTCAGTGGGGGTGGTGGTGATGCTGGTGGTGAACAGCCATTTCTCCAGGGGTTGGAATGTCCTCGGTTTTGTTTTCCAATTCAGCAGATAGGTTTAGAGCCTTCCTTTCTCTGTTCACTTTTCTCTGTTGTTCCCTACCGGCTCCCTATTTCTTCCCAGCAACTCTTTCCCCTACTCCTGCATCAGAAGAGAAAAAGGTGAGAATTAGGGGGTTCAGTAAAACATCCCTGGATTTTGTTGGTTTACAGGTAGAACTTCTGGGCGATGACGGCAGCCCAAGAGCCATGCCACATTGTCCTTTCTGCTCTGAGCCATAATTTTTTGTTTCTTTTCTTCATTGATCTTTCATCAGTTTACTCCTTTGGTCTTATTTGAATACTACTGATGACTGTTTTTTTGCTTGTTTAACTGTTTTACTCATTGTTTTAGATGTCAGGGCTGGGAATTTTTATTTTTATTTTGTTTATTGTCAGGGCTGGGAATTTTTGAGATGCAATTTCAATCACCATCTTAACCTGGAATTTCTGAATTTGTGTTCTGTCCATGACACCCGGTTATCCATAAGCCCACCACCGTGATTAAAAAAATCCTCCCTGGGGGACTTCCCTGGTATTCTAGGGCTAAGACTCCACATTCCCAATGCAAGGGACCTGGGTTCAATCCCTTGTCAGGCAACTAGATTCCACATGCCCCAGCTAAGAGTTTGAAGGAAAAAAAAATCCTTCCTGGCCCTCGTGCATATTTATTTATTTGCTCCTTCATTCACTCATTCATTCAACAACATTTGTATTAAGACACTGTGGTAATTATACTATTTCTTCACTCTCACTTCCAAACTGCACGTTCTGCACATCCCCAAATCAGATTTATCCAGACAGTTTAACTGATAGAGTATATTGTGCCACCATGTAAGAACTACCCAAAACATGGAGAATTAAAGAAACTTTTTTCACATTTTTAAAAGGTAGCTTGGAGGGAATAGATTTAAGTTGTAAATGTAGTCTTTCAATTTTAAAAACTCTGCCAGCAAAGTTCACTTCAAAACTAGCTCATAAACACAAGCACGCACACACATACACACACACACACACATACACCCTGAAGTTGTTTAAAATCTTAGGTCATCAGCCCTGCTATTTACTAGTCTTCCAACTTCCTGTTGAACCATCCCTTAGCTTTCTGCTATTTCCATGTCATTGGAACATTTTGTTTATATGGCACTTTATAGTTTGGAAAGTGTTTTCCTTATTGTATCTTTTCTTTATTTTTCTCTTTCTTTCTTTCCTTCCTTCCTTCCACTCATTTTTTCCTTCAATTTGCTAAGGAAGGAACCAAGATTTAGAAGGTGTGACTTTCTTACATGGCCGGTAAGGAAGAAAAAGTAGCAGAGAAATGGAATTCAACACAAACCTCTCCTTGTTTCCCAGATATTATTGGTTCCTGCTGTCTTGAAATAAATGGGACATTTTTGTTCATAGGGAACAAAATTTAGTTCTTGTTCATGGTGAG